AATGCACATTGTTGGATTACGATGAGTAAAACTTTCCTTCACATCTGAGCATTATCACTGACTCAAAAGAGCTCAATATTGCTACAGGGTACACATTCCGCACGGTATCATCTACATCGATCATACTGATTCTTTTTTAAGTTCACTAAAAAGCATGAAAAAAACGAGTCAGACACTTTCAACTCAAAGAGGTAGAGAAAATGTATGCGTCATAATGGCTAATGATCTTTGTCTTCACCAAGGGCTGCCAATTGTATTCTAATTAAACTGCAGATTTAGCATTGATGAATCTTTTGTCCTGCATAAACAATGAAAATAGAAACTCATGCTGACATATTCATGAGTCATCAGTTGAACACTGGTACCATGGAAAGGAAATCTCACAGTTAACTCTGGAGTAGAAATTGTCAATAACATTTAGGCACAAAAAGAGAAAAAAAGTGCATTGCAGTGACTTTGCAGGATTGTCTACGAACATTAATGGATTAAGATGTTCTGTATCTTTCATTTCACAGTAACATACTACACTATCCCTACATCTACCAGTCTTGCCCTTCTCACTGGATCGCAGAACATCATTTTGAACACTCAACTGTCAAGTGCCGTCCTCGTCTCACTATGCATCCAGCCTCCTAAGGAGCCGAGGGCCAGCAAATCTGCATAGCATTCTTTAAACAAAGTTGGTTCACTGGAGGTGTAAACAACAGTTCATTCAGAAACAAAGTGGCTGTTAGCAACTGACCAGGCAGTTCCAGACCTGTCTGCTTCTGACTATTGTCCAACACCTGGCTGTCCCAACTCTGAAGTTTGCTAGGTTTAAACTTGGCTTGCACACTAATTATTTTTTTCCCATGAACATGGATAAAAAGAATATTTCTGTAACAATCCTGGCAGTGACAGGCCACCTGACTACACCTATCTCTTGAGATACTGTCCTCTAGTTTTAGACTCCCTAGACAGGGAAAACAACATCTCTGCATCTATTGTATCCAGTCCTGTTAGAACTTTCAATCAGATGTCCTCTCATCCTTCTAAACTCTGGTTCGACTGAGCCTGTACTAATATCTCTCCTCATAGGACAGTCCTACCATACCCAGCATCAACCTAGTGAAACTCCACTATGCTGCCTCTAATGGCAAGTATATCCTTTCTTAGGTAATAAAAGCCAATATATCATTTACCTTCTTAATTGTCTGCTGCACCTGCCTGTCTATTTTCGGTTCTGTGGGTCTCTGGACCCGAAACGCTAACTCTGATTTTCTTTCACAGATATTGCCAGACCTGCTGAGCTTTTCCAGCAACTTCTGATTTTGTTCCTGATTTACAGCTTCTGCAGTTCTTTTTATTTCAGTTTTTATTTTGTCTATTTTCATTGACTCGTGTACAAGAACATCTGGTTTCCTTTGTACGTGTACACTTCCCAATATATCACTATTTAAATAGTACAGTTCCTCTCTGTTTTTCACATCATAGTGTACAACCTCATATTTAGTTACATTGTACTGTATCTACCATGTATTTGCCTACTCACGTTTAAATAATCTTGAAGTTACTTGAACTTTTGTCACAGCTCTCAAACCTATGCAGTTTTGTGTCATGTGTAGAGTTATTGGTAGTTGTCTTTTTCCCTAGGTTGGGGGATTTCAAGACTAGGGGGTGCTATTTAAGGTGAGAGGAGAGATTTAAAAAAGACATGAGGGGCAATTTATTTTTACACTGAGGATGGTTCACGTGTGGAATGAACTTCCTCAGGAAGTGGTGAATGTGGGTACAATTATAACATGTAAGAGACATTTGGATAAGTACATGAATAGGAAAGATTTGGAGGGATATGGGCCAGGAACAGGCAGGTGGGACTAGCTTGGTTTGGGATTGTGTTTGTCATGTACTGGTTGCACCAAAGAGTTTGTTTCCATGCTGTATGACTCTAAGACTCTACATAAGCATGATTTGAAATTGTTGCATTTCGTCATTTATGCATATTGAGAAAAGCTGGGGCCCAAGCACTGATACTCGTACTCTCCACTAGTAACTGCCTGCCAACAGAAAAAGATCTATTTGTTCCCATCCTGTTTCCTATCCGTCAACCAATTCTTGATCTATGCCGATATTTTACCCTCATCCCATGTGCCCACTAACCTTTTATGAAGAGCCTTATAAAAATCCTTCTGGAAATCCATATACACCACATCCACTGGTTCTCCTTAATCTATTCTACTCGTTACATCCTCAAAAAATACTCTAGAAAATTGGTTATGTTTTACTTACCTTTCATAAACTCAAGCTGGCTTTGTTCAATCCTGGTAATGTTTCCCAAATGTTGTGTTTTCAGGTCTTTTATAATAGATTCTAGTTAATTTTCTCGACTACTGATGGAAATTGTTTTTATCTCCCTCCCTTTTTAAATAGTGGGGTTACCTTTGTCACTCTCCAACCCTTAGAAATGGCTCCAGTCATAGGAATTTTGGAAGATGACCACCAATATAGCCAATATATCCACGGTCACTTCCTTTGGTATTCTGAAATGTAGGCCATCAGGCCTTGGTGATTTCTCAGCCTTTAAATCCATAATTTCCTCAGCACCTTATTTCTTAAACTAGGCTCCCCTAGACCTTGGTACCTTAAAGTTTCTGGGATGTTTTTTGTGAACACATAACCAGAGTATGTGGTCAAATCTTCTGTCATTTCTTTGTTTCCCATTATAATTTCTCTAACTTCTAACCATTTGTCTTTGCTAATCTTTTTCTCTGCACATATTTAGAAATGCTTTTATGGTCAGTTTCTATTTTACTCTCACTCTACTTCCCCTTAAACTATTTGCCTTCTTTTGCTGAATTCTAAAATGCTCCTAAGCACCAGGCTTGCAGCATTTTCTAACAATTTTGTGTGCCTCCTCTTTGGATCGAATACTATCCCTAATTACTTTTGTAAGCCGGAGTTGAACCACATTCCCCTTATTGTTGCAGTCAAACAGGATAAGTAATTTCATAAATCACGCACACATTCTTTTAATATGAACCATTGCCTATCCCCTTTCGTAAGGTTTCTCCAATCCATCCTTGCCAATTCACACCTCATATCCCATAGTTCCCTTAACATTGAGGGGGAGGGGAGACAGAGCTGCAAGGAGGAAGAAAACAGCTACAAAGTGGTTGTGCAGTCAGAAGGGGACTGCAACAGGGAAGTCAGGAGGGAAGAGGGCTAAATGGTGGGTGTGGGGTAGTGTGGATTGTGATGGAGAGACAGAGAGCCTACAATTGACAGAGACCAGTTTTACCTCATCAACAAAGAAATACTCAGACAACTGGGATCCAAGAAACATTTATATCATTGAAGTGATGAATTTCTTACCAATGAACCTAAAATCTTTAGGTTAAGGCTAAGCAAGTGCATGTGCTACAATACTTAGAAAAATGTGGAGATTGTACTGGAATGAACATTGTGCTAACTGTCAAATTTAAACTTTAAATGCAGATCTGAGATGTGGTACAAAGGGTAGTAACTACCCATTTAATATTCCAGCTTTGCAAATTGCAATGGAAATGTATTTGCTGAGGCATTACCTGTCTGTACAAGGCATGTTTTTCTATGTAGAAGTGTTCATCAGTTATTTTGAGACAGAAAAAAAAACATGATGCCAACTTTTCATTATTTTGTACAAATTAAACGGTGTTATAGAGGAAATTAATGTTTTTCTTGTGCTGTGGCTTTAAATTTAAATTTGATGAAGAATTGAATATTGAGATATTGATGAATTCTTTGGAATCTGTCTGAGTGTCCAAATATTTCAACACAAATGCAGAAGGCATTGTTACTATGACTGTATTATCTAATAAGAGTTATTCAGAATGTAAAAGCAGCACTGAGAAAACCTCAAGAGCCCTTTTCGACCCTGCTTTCCTTCGTCGGACCAAGAGGTATGTTCTTAAAAAAAGCTATTGTGTTTACTAGACAGAATGTCTTCAATGAATCTGTTGACTACCTTTGATTAACCTAGGTACTTGCAAATGCTTAAATGTGATCTCAAATTACACTGACCACAAATAATAATAGACTAGTTAAACAATTCTCTTTAATTTTCTGAAAAGTGAGACATGTACAGAATCCAGGCTGTTGACACGCAACACTTCAGGACATCAGCTGATGTACTCGCGTGCATATGTTTAGATGGTACATCTTTTAACTATTTTATGCTACATATTCATCAATTGTCTTTACACATTTTATGATTAACTAGTTGTTAAACTGTCCACAACTCAGCACAAATTGGCACTACATTGACAATGTAAAAGTTAGCATAATGAAGTCAATAGGCTTCGGAGTTAGCTGAGGGAGGAAATGGAAAGGTAATATTGCCAAGATAATACAGAGTGGAGCTGGAGGAGCACAGCAGAGCAGGCAGCATCAGAGGAGCAGGAAAGTTGACGTTTCGGGTCAGGTTTTTATGAAGAAGTGTCCCGAACAGAAACGTCAACTTTCTTGCTCCTCTGATGCTGCCTAGCCTGCCATGCTCCTCCAGCTCCACACTGTGTTATCTCTGACTCCAGCATCGGCAGTTCTTACCATCTCTGAGTTATATTGCCGAAGCCACGATTAGGGAGAAGACAATGTTGGGGTACAGCAATAGGAGATTTACTTTTCTGTATGAGTGATCAAAATGGAACAGAACACTGCTACTTTGTCCAACACTGTAAAAGTTCAGGTTTGATTAGCAAAATTTGATCAAAAAGCACTTTTGAAAATTGAATGAAACAGAAAAAGTTGAAGTATCACAATAATCTATGCTTTATCCTTCCACAATAGGTACAATATCAAATCCTTTCATGCTAATCCACCCCGAAACATGCTTTCCAGGCCGATTATCAACGGCGTAGATTTTTTGCCTCCTTTGGCATTAACAATTCTTCCCATTATTACCAGCTGCTGGTGCATGGTGCTGGGATATGCAGAGTAGTATCACAAATCAAATTAGTTTTCCATAGCAGAAAAACAGCAAATACCACCTTTAAAAGCAATTTATTGTATTTGACAGTATTTTCACAATAAAAATAAATATACAGTCCTTTAATGTTCAAATGTAGCAATACTATATAGAAAACAGTGTTCTCAATGATTTAGTAAACATTTAAAATGCCAAAACATATTTTTTATATCTATAAAACAGATTCATAGTTTTCTTAAGCATTATTTAAAAATACACATTCTACAATCTGACCCATATATGAAAGTGCAATTCATTAGTCTCACTACTATAGCACCAACTAATTGATGTATTAGACAATGGCTATTTACTGGAAACTTTGCCTTCTGTGTTGGCACCAAGAACAATCCTGTTCAATATAATGTGCATCACAAACTGGAAGTAATCTTGCAATTCAGCATAAGAGATGCATCAAAAATTAGTAGCCAATTTACATTAAAATCCATGTATGATACACATGTACATTGTGTACAAAAAATTTAACGTTTTGAATAGCTGGCAGCAAACAACAAGTATTACAATGAAAATTACATTTCTGCAATTTCAAAAACTAGACAAAGTAATTTTCCACTAATGTACATAATTATTGTACATTACATGTATTGTATTGTACATAATTACTGATAACTGAAATTAAAAAAACAAACCACAGTTCACAATTTGTAGAAAAACCACAAATGGAGACCACTTTCATTCACGTGTTGTAAAAGACATTTCTTTCTATCATTTTTCTGTAAAAAGAATGCTGTGTCAATTAGTACATAGAAAACACAGGAGGAGTGTTTGTTTAAACCACGAAATTGTAGTGTTCTGTTTGATAACAAAACTGCTGCCAGGATGGGGACAAGATTCATTTTTACTCTACTTAGGTTTTACATTACTGTGGTAAACATCTTCCACCAGTGGACTTAAGCATTTTAAAAAAATTGCCCCATATGGTGTTTAAATTGACCACAGTTCAGCCAATGATAATCATGTGAAGACCCCAGATTAACAACTCTCAGTAATGAGCATTCAAAGTTTAAGCTGCGCCGCATGGTCGACATAGTATGTATTGATAAAATGTATTCGCTACATACTTTCATAACAGAATACAGCGTAATGTCAGAACATAGCGATCTGCAAAAATTGTTGCATTAAAATAAAACACTGATAACTCTAATTCACAAAAGCTAACTTCAACAGACAAAATCTCTTTAAACAGATAGAAACCCAGTGAAATTCAGCATTCACATCTGACCTGAGCTGTTGCTTCAAAATTTTTCCATTCTTCATCGTTCAACATCTTTATTCTTCATATACACAGTACTTTTAGCAAAAGGTTGTTGCAATTTGGAGTGTTTCTGCTAGATCATACATAAATAGTTTGTTACAATTGAAATAATTTTTTACGCAGTAACTTATAAACATTTAAAATGAATTTGGCTGCTGAACGTGTCTGGCATTTATTCAGGGAGCAATGCACATCAACTTCTATTCAAATGATGAGCAAAAACACTACCAGTAAATTGTGAATTACAGATAGAAGGATGCAGTGCAACACTTGAAGGAGTACACAGAAGAATTCAAGTCAAGTATTATCTCATATTGCAAACTGCAGATTCAACATCATGACCAAGGCTACATGCAAAAGCTTAGTCCAAATCAGACTGAACATAGTACGTATGGATTCACACCTATAATATGGCTGCTTTACACAGCTTATCAGAGATCAATGGTGCTAAGAGCCACAAACTACCAACTGCACAGATGAAATCACATCTATTGTCAAACAAACCTTGTTCAACGTCAACTTAACGTGGTTCCAGTAAGAATTAAAAAGGAAGCCACAGGGAGCAGGAGCTCAGGTTCATTTCCCCCTTTCTTAACCCAGATCCTTGTAGACAATTGTAGTAGTGCTTGTGCCACCTCAGTTGAGGCCAACTAACGCTGCATTGGCCAGAAATTGAATCTAGGACTGTAATGTTGCATGGATCAGCTAATTCACCAGTAGAACAATCAGGGAAGGTGCACAAATTCAAGTTTAAAGGCTAAGAAAACAGACACAGAAATAAATACTGTTTATTTAGGCTTTACCTACAGCAGAAGAATTAAAATTCTCATATCTGAGAATCCACAGGGCTGTAGCGATGGAGAAAGGCAGATGGATACTTAAACCTGAGCTACAATATTTTAGTAAATTCTGACAAATAAATCATTAACATATTGCAACAGGAACATAAAGCATCTACATAAATCATGCCACCTAAACTACTTGCAGGAGTTAAACTTGTGTTCTTTATCAACATTCATCTTCATTGAACTTAAAAAACATGGTAACAAAACAGGTAAAAATATTATCCCATTTACAATGGTCAATTTTGTGATAAATGTTAATATCATGAACCTACAGTGGATGTGGAGCTTATTAATCTGTATAGGAAGTGAAAAAGGAAAGATTAAATACAATTAGCAAAAAACCTGAGCTGACAGGAATCCTGAAAATGGAATGTCAAGAAATGAACCAAGGTGTCCCAAATATTTCAAATACATCACAAATAACAAAAACAGCCTCCTCTTCCTTAAGGTGTAGGCAAGCTTTAAGGTAGCTTCAGCCTCTACCAGTCTGCTTAGCAACATGGGAAACCTATAGATTTTTGCAGAATTAGTCTTGCCATGTTACGTGGATTTATCTTTGCTCTCCCCAACATAACACACTAACTAACATATGGTAAACAGGGGATAACGGTGACAGAAACTTATTCAGTATAAAAGAGACCAATGTCTGCATACACGATCTACTCATTCACCACTCTCCTTTCCTTACACGCAGTAAGTGATTACGTTGCACTTTCAGGTTCCACTCAGACCAATATTAAGCACTGACTATGTATAAAGGAGGCCACAGTACTACTATGATAATGCTTCAGTCTTGTTGAAAATTGGTTTCACTCTATTACACCAGTTATATTACCCATTTAACATTGAGCAGAGGGGTTTTGGCTTGGTATCAAGACTAACTTTATTATTAAAGTGAATGGCAAGATGTGCAATCTGAATTCAGACTGCCAGTATAAACATGAGTCAGGAGCAAAAGTAGAACATTTGGCCCTCAAGCTTACTCTGCCATTTAATAAGATCACAGCTGATCGGATTGTAACTTGTACTTCATATTTCAAATTACCCCCAGTAACTTTTAACCTCTAGCCTACCAAGAAACTATCCACGTTAGCCTTAAAAGTATTGAGAGGCTCGACCACCACTCATTTTGAGGAAGAGTGTTACAAAGACTCACAATCCTCAAAAAATATCTTCCTAACTGTCTTAAATGGGAGACACTTTGTTTTTAAATAATGACATCCAGTTCATATTCTCCCACGAGAATTTCTGCACCATTTCTGCATTTGCCCTGCCAAGACACCTCAGGACTTTATACATTTCAATCAAGCCATCACTGATCTTTCTAAACTCTAGCAGATATAACGATTCCTCGTAAGATAACCTACACATTTCGAGTCTAGTCTAGGAAACTTCCCGAGCTACTTCCAACGCAGTTACGTTCTTTCTTAAATTGGGTTGTCAATACGGGATGGAATTCAACCTGGAAAAGTGTGAAGTGATTCATTTTGGAAGGTCAAATTTCAATGCAGAATACAAGGTTAATGGCAGGATTCTTGGCAGTTTGGAGGAACGGAGAGATCTTGGGGTCCATGTCCATGGATCCCACAAAGTTGCCACCCAAGTTGATAGGGTTGTTAAGGTGTATGGTGTGTTGGCTTTCATTGGCAGGGGGATTGAGTTTAAGAGCAGTAAGGTAATGCTGCAGCTCTATAAAACCCTGGTTAGACCACACTTGGAATATTGTGTTCAGTTCTGGTCACCTCATTACAGGAAGGATGTGGAAGCTTTACAGAGGGTGCAGAGGAGATTTACCAGGATGCTGCCTGGACTGGAGGGCAGGTCTTATGAGGAAAGGTTGAGGGAGCTAGGGCTTTACTCATTGGACCGAAGAGGGATGAGAGGTGACTTGATAGAGATGTACAAGATAATGAGAGACATAGATAGAGTGGATAACCAGAGACTTTTTCCCAGGGTGGAAACGACTATCACAATGGAGCATAATTTTAAGGTGACTGGGGGAAGGTATAGGGGAGATGTCAGAGGTAGGTTCTTCACAGAGTGGTGGAATGTACTGCCAGCAGTGGTAGTAGAGTCAGATACATTAGGGACATTTAAGACACTGTTGGATAGGCACATGAATGATAGTAAAATGTAGGGTATGCAAGTTAGTTTGATCTTAGAGTAGGATAATAGGTCAGCACAACATTGTGGGCCGAAGGGCCTGTGCTGTGCTGTACTGCTCTATGTTCTGGTATGCAGTATCCCAGCTGTGGTCTCACCAATGCCTTATATAACTGAACCATAACCTCCCTACTTTGTATTTGATCTCTCTCACTGTAAATAATATTATAGTTGCTTTCCTAATTACTTGCGTACCTACGCATTAGACTTATACGATGCATAAAGTAGGACATCTAGATCCTTCTCACCTCAGAGCTCTGGAATCTCCCATTTAGACAACATGCTTTTGTCAAAATGGACAACTACACATTTCCCCACATTTTACTCCATTTGCCAAATATCTGCTCCCTCTGTGGTCTCATGTCCTTTTCATAATAGTTTCCCACCAACTTTGTAAGACCGTTACAAAGAAGTAGCCTAATTTTATGCTGATTTCTCAAAGATTAATATTGGTATAGAATGGAAACTTTTTCTATGTTTTTATGCATGCCTGAAAACACAAAATCAGTGATAATGTGACATTATGAGTTATCCAATTAATATATCTTCTTAGATATTTACCTTTACTTCATGATTGTATCCAGAGATAGGAACTGTTTCTGGCGCATGCAATTTCCTAAGTTATTAAAAAGAAAGTTAGATTTTCCCTGACTTTCAAAATGTTATTGATAATAACGTGGAATACACATGCTGAAATATTACTTTAGGATAACAGATATACCTGGCAATGCCTGCCTCAATAACAACCTATACTTTTAATGTCTTCAAACATCTCAAGGCTGTCTATTTCACACCCATAACATTGTCTGAATGCACCATTGGCACCCCCTGTCTGCTAGGAGAAGTTACAAAATAAAATTAGACATGAAGCTTTGTAAGGATATATCAGAACAGATCACCAAAAGCTTGAACCACAAGGGTACATTTTAAAGGAGCACCTGGAAGGAGCACCTTTAAGGAAAAAGCACATGGTTAGACTGAAAGGCTTGTTAAGGGAATTCTAGTGCCAAAGGATTAGACAGCTAGAGGCATAGCCAACTGACGATGGAGTGATTAAAAATTAGAGAATGATTAAAATTAGGGACGTTCAAGAGGCCAGAATTAAACGAGCACAGATATCTTGGCGATTGTAGGACTGCAAGAGATTAGATGTAGGAAGGAGCCAGGACATGGAAAGATTTTAAAACTATTATGGGAATCGATGAGATCAGGACCCAATGTAAGTCAGGAAGCATAGAGGCTAGGAAATGATTTGCTGCGAATTGGAACACAGCCAACAGGATTTTCAATGTCCTCGGATTTGTGGAAGGCAGAGTATGGGAAGTTGACTAGAGTTCAATAGACAGTTACATTTGAAGTTGAGGGTTTCAGCAGCAGAAAGGGGGGTGCCAACGGCACATTTAGGCAATGTTTTGGGTGTGAAATAGACAGCATTATTGACAGCATGCACATGTGAAAGAAAGCTCATCTCCATATCAAATATGATCCCAAAGTTGTGAACACCCTGGTTTGGCCTCAAACAATTGGAAGGGAAAAGGATGATTCATTGCCAAGGAAGCAGCGTTTGAGGCAGGGACAATTGGCACAATGAAACAGTGGTTTCAGTCTTTCTAATACTTAATTGGAAAAAAATTTCTGCCCATTTAGTACTGAAACAGTGGATGAAAAATGGGAGAATTTCAAAAGAGAGGTGAATAGGGTGCAAGCTAGGTACCGTTATGGACCAGACCAAACCCCCTCAAAATAGATTAAGATAGCCCAGACCCTAACTTTTTCTTATTTTAAAGGTAAGTGTAAGGCATTGCGTTCAGATCCAATTTGATTGAACAAACTATTCAACTTTAAGCAAAACACACTATTTTTACACTAAAGTTAAAATACAGTCAAAATAAAAATATAAGAATTGGCTTCTCTGTAACTCAATTGAAATGCTTAACAAAATAACATATATTAACTGCTACTAATCAATAGTTCCAATATAATAACATCCCATAAACACACCCTTGGTAAAGGCAAATTCAATAAAATAGATTGTTCCAAATGCAATTCTAGCAGCACCATGAGAACCCCAACTTTAAGCTGTAACAGAGAGAGGAATAAGAGTTTCTACATCTAGCTTCAAGATGCCAGCAACTGCTGAAAGCTAAAACTAAAAATCCTGGTTTTTTGGGAGCTTGACCCCACCCATTCAGGCTGCTTCTATTGTTCCAACTTTAAAAAAAACGCACCAAGGCCTCGCAAGCTGCATACTTTATTGGCTTTGAGCAGACCACTCAGCATCTGTGTCTAAAAGAAAGGACAAAATACATCCCTTAAAGCCATAGTATTGTCATACCACCCCGCTAAAAAGAAATGAACCATCAATATACAAAGATGGCTTCACTTTTTAAAACCCTTTAGTCTTACGTGATTAATACACAACAATATACATGTTACATTACAGTGACTCTAAGCAAACATTTATTACTACAGTGCATTTTAGTCTGTTTATCTCCACCAAGCACCTCAGCAACAACATACTGATAATTACGATCTCTCGTCTTGCCACATATATAACTTTCTAAATTGAATGGTTGCATAAATAAGCTCCATCCGAACAGTCTGGTATTTTTATCCTTAAATTTTCGCAAAAATTTTAAGGTGTTATGATCAGTTTACATAATCGTCTCAGACACATTACTAGCAATATAAATGTTGAGATGTTGCAAGGCAAACATTAAACTCAAGGTCTCTTTCTCAATTGTGGAATATTTTTATTGATGATTATTCAATATTCTGGAAAAATACCCAATAGGTCTTTCTATCTTCTCACTGTCTTCTTGCAAGAGCATAGTACCAACACCCACATCACTCAGTGATAGCCACTTCAAATGGCTTTGTGTAATTAAGTGTGGCTAACATTGGAGCAGTGGATAACACAGCTTTCAGAATGTCAAATGCCTTCTGACATGCCTCCATCCACTGAAATTTTCTGCACTTCAAGCCAGTCAATGGAGCAACCACACTGCTAAAATTCAATACGAACTTAAAATAAAAACCACTCAGTTCTTGGAATCATAGTATTTCCCTTGTCAACGATATGGAAAACTCCCCAATAATCTTTGTTTTCACATCCCGAGGGGCCATTTATCCATGTCCAACAACTTGGCCCAGTATGTGATGTGGGATTTTGCAAACTCACTCTTAGCCAGGTTTATCACCAACCTGCCTCCTGAAGTCGACCTAACAATTTTGACAGATGCTCCTAGTGTTCTTTCCACGTGTGACTAAAAATCACTGGTTCATCAATGTACACCACACAATTGGGTAATGCCGAAATGACTTTATTTGTTAGTCTTTGAGCAGACAGCTCAGGACCTCTGTCCCAACCTTTCTTCACTAAAAAGGAAAAGGCAGGGCAAGCTACTCACAAAAGCCAAGGGTATGGCAGAGATACTAAATCAGTACTTAGCTTCTGTCTTTGCCAAATTAGAAAATGGTGACAATGACCTAGTTGAAAACGTGGATATCGAGCAAGTGAACAGTATAGTGATAGATAAAGAGGTGCTAAAAAGGCTCCAGGTAGAGAAATTGCCAGGTCCAGATGAGATGCATCCTAGATTGCTGAGGGGGTAAGGGAGCAAATTGCTGAGCTGTTGACAGAAATTTTCCAGGTGTCTCTGAATACAGGGTGAGTCCTAAGAGACTGAAGAATTGCAAATGTGACACTGTTCTTTAAGGGCAAAGGATAACCCAGGAAACTACTCTAGCCTTGGACATCCCCTGTATTTATTTCTTAAGGGTATGTACCTAGCTTGCAGCCTGATATCAATAGTGGGAAAACCACAAAACAGGGAGAGGTTAGTGAAAAATAAGTCGATACTAGATAGTCAACACGTCTTCATCTAATGCTGATCATGTCTGAAAAATTTGATTGAATTCTTTGATGAGTTGACACAAGCAGTGGATGAGGGGAATGCTGTGGATGTTCTATATTTGGACTTTTAGAAAGCATTTGATATGGTATCACATGGCAGGTTGGATAGCAAATTAGAAAATGTTTGGGATTGGTGGGTCCTTGGCAGAATGGATTAGAAGTTGGCAAAAAGATAAGAAACAGACAATAAGTATAAATAGGCATTTCTCAGAATGGAGAAGAGTTGAAAGTGGTGATCCCCAGGGATCAGTGTTGAGACCCCTGCCTTTTCTGGTTTATTTAAATAATTTGGAGATGGGTGTTGGGGAAAAAAAAATCTCTAAATTTGCAGACGATACTAAGCTAGGGAGAAGAGTAAATTGTAAGGATGACACTCAGCAACTTCAGAAGAACTTGACAAGCTGGCCAAATGGGCAGACACCTGGCAGACAAAAATCAATGCAAAGAAGTGTGAGCTAATACAATTTGCTGTGAAACAATACTGTGGCTTTAAGAGGTGTATTTTGTCCTGGTTTCTTTTGAAGAGAGGTATTGGAGAGGGGTACCGAGTTATCTCTTCCAAACCAATAAAGTAAACAGCTTGAGGCAGCCTGGGGTTTCCTCTTTTAAAAGTTAAAACAATAGAAGCAGCATGAATGGGTGGAGTCAGACTCCCACAGAACCAGGGTTTTAGTTTAGCTTTCAGTTGTTGGGGTTTGAAGTTGGCTGTGGAAGCTCTTAAATATCTCTGTTGGCCACAGTTAAAAGCTAAGGCTCTCTCTCTCTCTGTCTGAATATTTTCCTGGTGTTCTTTTCTCCTGGACTTGTGAAACACTGCATGTTAGACCATCTATTTTGCTGAATTTGCCTTTTCCAAGTGTGTTTATGGGATGGTACTATATTCAAACAGCTGTTGCGTAGGAAATAAATAATCCATTATTCAGTTAAACTTTCCACTAGAGTTAAAGTTATACAAATTCTTTTTTCTCCTCTTTGTATTTTAGCTGGGTGTATAGTGTGTTTTGCTTAAGGTCAAATGGCGCGACCACTATACCTGGACCACTGCAGTTTACACTTGCCTTGAAATAAGATAAAAGTTAGGGTCTAGGCTATCTCATTGATATATTTGAAGGGGGTTACCAATCTAGTTCACAACAGATGAAAGAAACAGAGAGACAACACACGTTCAACGGTACCACGTTGAGGAGCAGAGGGACCTCCGGGTTCATGCGCATAACTCATTGAAGGTGGGTAGGCAAGTTGAAATATGTGTAAAGACAGCTTATAGGATCTTGAGGTTTTTAATAGAGGTAGAGTATAAAAGCAAGGAAGTGGTGCAACACCTCTACAAATTATTGGCCAGACCACATTTGGAGTACTGCATTCAGTTCTGGGATCCTTGTTTAAGGAAGGATATTAAAACCCTGGAGAAAGTGCAAAGGAGATTTACTAAAGTAATATCAGGAATGAGAAATTTAAGACACAAGCAAAGATTAGGGAAATTGCACCTATTCTCCTTGGAGCAGAGGAGATTGAAGATGTGTTCAAAATTATGAACAATTTGACAGGATAAAGAAAGATATTCTGCTTTCACTTGTTGGCATGTCAGTAACTAGGTGTCACAATTTCAAGACTGACAGCAAGAGAGCCAGGAGTGAGACGAAGAGAAACTTCTTTACTCAATTGTTAAGATTTGGAATGCACTACTTGGGAGTGGTGGAGGCAGGTTCCATATGAGATTTCAAAAGAGAGCTGGATATATATTTGAAAGTGATGAATTTACTGAACCCACTTTTCTCCAACAGCCTTTGACCAACACATTCACTTCTCTCATCTGATTTGGATGTTTAGCGGTGTGGTAGTTTATGTGACCCACATGTTGGCCCATAATTCCCTGCTTCTGGTTACATCACTGAAGGAAGACATTCAATCCACAGTTTCTGTGCCAGCTCTACAACAGCACAGGACCTTGGCCCAATCCCTCATCTTTTCTCTTCACATAATTGGAAATTCTGTTTTAAAAGGGTGGAATGAATTTGACAATGCACTCTCCCACTTGCAATGGAAAAAAAGAACATTTTTTCCCTTCATGTCAGCATTGCTTCTTTTATTAGTCTCATTAAACTGGTGTCTTCCGCTTGTGAATGTCATCAAAAGTAAACACTGATTCATCATTTCATGATTCTGAACACCTAAATCAAACCTCATTTTAACTTTCCCTTCTCCTAATAAAAAAGCCTCGTACCACCAATAAAAGCAAAATACTGCAGATGTTGGAATTCTGAAACAAAATGCACACAGGACCCCAGTCACAGGACTCGAAATGTTAACTATGTTTTTTCATCAGATGCTGCCAAACCTGCTGTTTCTCCAGCATTTTCTGTGTATGTCTCGAATCTCCGATCTATCCACGTAACGGATGCAACTCATTCCAGGACCAATTCTTGGGAATGTTTTCTGAATCCTCTCTAATGCCTTTTACCTCGCCTTAAAATGTGGTGCTCAAGTCTCAGTAAAATGTTCGAGTTCAGGTTGAATCAGTTGAAACAAGATGGCAGCAGAGAAGCAGCGTAGCTTGTGGCCTCATCTACTCTGTCCACCTTTTTTTTTTTCTTTCTTTGCTTTTTCTTAACGGTTCCATTTATTATTTTACCTTCTTTAACTTCTATGGCAGAAGGCATCTTCTCTCAGCCTGGGCCCAGCAAAGAGGAGGCTTCCAGCCCGGTGTGACACAGCGATCTCCTGATGTAGTGGCCTCATCCCGAAGGGGTAGTCTTGGCTTGGCCTAGTGGTCTCTAGGTTTGGCAATTTTGTCCCAGCATGAAGGTCTCAGTGGGAAGGTTTTTCTCAGCAGCGGCTTCTGGGTATTCCAGTGGCCTGGCGTGGCAATCTCGTCCAGTCCATTCGTGGAAATCTTGATCCGGGGTATGGCACTGAGGTCTCGTTGCCATGTGAAAATTTTGTTTTCCAGCCTGGAGCGGCAGTCTCCCATTCAGGTGGCCTTGCCCGGAGGGGGCGGTCTCTGCTTAGTGTAGTTGTCTCCAGGTTTGGCAGTCTTGTACGGACGTGGCTGTCTCAATGTGGAGGTCTTCTTCGGCAGTGGCTTCCAGGTATTCCAGCATTCGTCATCTTAATCAACTTTCCCCGAACTGAAATTGATCTAAGACAAATGCTGTCTTAATTGTTCTTCTTATCTATGACTTCTGTTAATAATACAGGCGCCATGGTATAGTGACTTATAAAACTTCTGACTTGCTTTTGGTAAAAGTACACATGACAACAAATTGCTATTCTGTTCTATTTAATGGGAGAATGGGACTGGCTGAGTAGCTCTTTCAGGACCTAGTACAAACATGATGGATCTGATAGTTTACTTCTGCGCTATAAAATTCCATGGAAGTCAAACAGTCCGCAATTCAGAGGTTGTTGATCTTAAGGTAGAGCTCATCACTGTAGATGTGGAAAGTGATGCTGTGTTTTTGGATGATGGCAGTGATAGGCAACTTGTAGGAAGTAGCAAGGGCTCAGGTCTGGATCCTTGGGGACACTAGAGGTAGTGGTGTGGGAATGGAAAGAATGGGAATTAAATCATGACTGGAAACAGGTGAGCGCAGTTCACCCACCTGGATGTGATCACAATTTTGAAATTTTGCAAGTAGGTAGGGAAGGACGAAAAAGGATTCAACAGCTGTTTTTTTGAGAAAGGAGCAATAATAACAGATTTTAAGGACAGACGAACAAACAGGAGAGCTGTTAACAATGTCACCTGACATGGGAGGCATGAAGGGAAATTAGGTAGTCAGCGGTTTAATGGAAATGGAAGCAAGATAAGTTTAGAAAGGGGATTATGAAAGAAACTAGAGGAAGGCATAAGGAGTGAGAACTTCCATCTGGTGGGGAGGGAGAACAGTGGCAGATAGCTGATTGGATGGTCTCGAACTTCATGACAAAGAAATTCATAAACTCCTCACACTTGCTGTAAAGGGAACAGTGTCGAGTGGTTTAAGGTAATAGTTTACACTTGAGGAAAGAAGTTGGGAGCTGACTCTCCATTCAAGGATGATTCTGGAATAGGAAACAGTTTTAACAGCTGAGTGTGATAACAGCTGGTATCCTGTGCCTCATAAAAACTAAACTAAAATGACTATGATTTATGGATTAAAATTCACTGTCCTTGACTCAGACTACATTTTTTCCAATTGCAGTTTATGCTGCTACTAACACAACTGTTCTCTAACCTAGCATACAACTACGGTCCTAAAGTACTTCAAACAAAATTTGACAGAGCCACAAGTTAATGAGACAGGTGACCAGAATTTTTGTCACAGAGATAGGTTTTAAGGAGTGCCCTATAAGGGTACGCAGACAGACGGATTTAGAGATTCTAGAGCTTGGACAGCTGACAGCACAGCCAACAATGAAAACTTGAGACACACAGATGCCAGAACTGGAGGAGTACAGAGATTTCAGTGGGTTGTTAGGCTGGAGGACATTAAATAATCAGAAACAACGCACTTTGCAGATACAATTCATTACGTAGATGTTTTAACCATTGCATTAGCAGTGCTCATGAAGCCATAGTTGAACAAATAGCAGTTGGTAAATTTGAATTCAGGTTAAAACTATATTAAATAAAAAACTTGTTTCAGTGAAGGAGACAATGAAGCTGTTGGGTTGTTGGAAAAATTTAATTGGTGTAGTAAGGTCCTTAAGGGAAGAAAACCTCCCTTTCTTTCCAGGTCTGGCCAATGTGACTTCAATCTTACAGTAGCACAGGTTCAACCATGAAGATGGCCCACACTGCTCAGTGCAACTAGGGATGGGCGATAAATGCCAACTTTGCCAGAACTGATCATCAGTGCAATTTATAACTTACCATTATCCATTATTTGAATGTGGAACTGAAAGAGCATTGGAACCATTTTTAAACTGTCCAGTTGTGCATCCAATGTTGCTCCATAGGCTTTCAGGTTTGCAAGATCAGTTTCCAACTTTACCTTCTGATTCTGAGATAGAAAACAAATCCACTTTTTAAAATTGCTGGTTCTGAAAAATCACGGAACAGCTACAGATCATAACAGAGTCCCATCTAAATATTATTACAAATAAACTTAACTTCATTTTAATGTATTTGTGATGTTTAGACTTTTGGTAAAATCTGTACCTTACATAGAAAGATAATCAGATTTAATGACAAAGGATGTGACTCAAACAGAATTAAGTTTCATACTGCACATTTTTAATGTCTTCAAACACTATCTAGATTTATAAAGTCAACTTGAAAATATTGACTGCTTATTGCCATCTCAGCAAAGTTAAAGTCCCAGAGGACAACAGTTCTCTTAATAGAAGAGAGATTGGTAGAGGTTTAACCTGAGGGTAATCACACCTCAGGCAAGGGGAAAGGTTGAGGGTAGTCCTCATGGTAACCTCAGCTGGTGTGGGATTTGAACCCATGCCGTTAGCATTACCTCACTAAACACATCATCATGAATTGCACCTCAAACATTAAACACCTAGCATACGATACACAGCCATAGTTTAAAAGTTTATATTCAATGCTATTACAAATGCATAAAAAATTAGTAAATATTTAAACACTCAATAATTAAGTAGTGACCTTTATAATTTACCTTCAATCCTTCCAACTGTGTGTTTAGATTTTCACGCTCATCTTGGGCATGCTCCAAAGATTTTGCAAGTTCATCAAGTTCTAACTCTCTCACTAGGAAGCAAACAAAACAAGTATGGACTTTCATTTTGGATTATACATGGCTGTTCTCACACCTCTGCTGCGATTTAGGACTCCTGGAAGGACTGTGAAATATCACGGATCATGGATTAATGAATGATAAGCAACATAGATTTGTCAGAAGGCAATTTGAGTTCAACAAGCTTGATTGAGCTCTTTGAAATAACTAGAGGGGGCTCATGGAACGTCTCAGGTAAAAAAGTAAAGAGGTTGTATGTGCATATTCTGGGTGTGGGAAACAACCATCCAACTGGACTTCCTGCTCTTCTCCAATACTGCAAATTTTGATGAAGGTAGTAGAGTCATATTGTTCACATTTGATACAATATCAAATAAGACTTGACAGCAAAATTGAAAAAGAATGGGATTAAAAGGGCATGGTAAAATGAATAGAAAGCTAGCTAAAAAACTGAAAGTTGATCATTTATTTTTCTGATTTACAAGGTAACTTATATTAGTATGCCCCATAGGTTGGTATAAGAAATATTATAGTTTTTCATTGTGACCTTCAGCCCAATAGTAGATGATCAATTTCAAAGATCACAGATGACGCATCATGGAAGTGTAGCTCACAATTTCATGGGGATACAGATTGATGAAAAACACAGACAAAACAAATGACAAGTGACATTTCACAAAGTGTGAAATGATGCATTCATAAACTAAATATTACAATTTTAAAGAGGTTCAAGAACAGAGATAGATCTCCAAATACACAGGCACAAATCTTTGAAGGTTGGTAAAGCTGTTGAAATAGCATATCCATGGTTTTATAAATAAAGACTGCACCAGATTTGCTGATGTTGGGATAGTCATTATTCAAACATAAATTTAGTTTGCATATGGGAAACCATCATCATAACAGACTCTGTAAGAAATTGAAGATTCCGCTGGGCAATTCCTCTATACCTAGAGCCCTGTGAAAGTTTCCATTTAAATCAGAGAATTCAGAGGGTTTCGATGAAATCAATAAGTTACCCAGGAAACGTTAGTTTATTAAATACATAGTCTTAACTGACCCCATATTTGTCCCAGACATCCCCAAACTACGTTCACCAGATTACTGAAGCTTCCCCAGGACCCAACAGTCCCTAAGAATGGACAACTCCCTTATTCCTTTCTAGACCTGACAATTCCCTTTCTCCATACACCACCTGATATTCCTGTCCCATTGCCTCCCCTAGATCTGACCCAACATCTACCCTTCTCCATTCCGGTCGCAACCCCCTTCCCTTGCTCCAGACCTGACCCTCCTGTTCAAAAATAGAGGTTGGCCCAGATTTTGTAATGCAACAGCAGGAGTAGAACAGGCGTAGGCCATTCAGCCTTTCGATCCTTCCATTCTACCACTGACCTTCCTTTTGTTCTTGTCCAACTCTCCTTTACTCAAAACCTATTATGTTTCTCAATTTTCCCAATTCTGGCAAACATAACAGGCATGCAACATTAACTCGTTACATGAAAAGGACTTTTTTTTGTGCACACTGTGACAAGTTTATCACAGGGAGATTTCATATTCCTTGATCAAGTTCAAGAACTCCAAATTACACTGCACTGACAATGATATCATACAAGAAAGAACATGTGATACGAGGAAATATTTGTGAACAGGGCTGGTCCCAGGGAGCTATTTTACTCTATTAGTACACTATTTACTATAACAAAGTTTTATTTGAAGTAAATTGCTGTTAAATCATCAGCAAAAGTTGTCATAAAAATAATTTAATGACAAAATGTACCTTTGCCCTCCATTAGAAATAATGGAATGTTATGCTCCAGAATTAATAAATACAGACGGCATAGATAAAAAATGCTTTGGGAAATATTAATGACCTGAGTCATCACACTTTACTCTCTAATTAAATTGGTGTCTAGTTGGGCTTTACTAGCAAAGTTACATTTCTACCTGTCAACCCATCTCCTGCAGCCCCCCAAAGGAAAAATATAAAATCACAAAATTGTCAATAGGTTCTCAATTTGCACTGTCAACCAATTGTTATTTCAAGCGGACTGTACACTCCACAGTTATGTGATCTCAATCTTAAATCAAAAGTCACCTCAAAACATGGGAAAAATGGGGAACTAAAAAGGATCATTTTCTGATTTGGGATGCTGTGATTAGTTTTCGCCAACCATCAATAGTTTGAAGCATGCAAAAGGATGTTGACAGGGTTGGACGGTTTGAGCTATAGGGGAGGCTGAATAGGCTGGGGCTATTTTCCCTAGAACTTCAGAGGCCGAGGGGTGACCTTATAGGGGTTTATAAAATCATGAGGGGCATGGATATGGTAAATAGACAAGGTCTCTTCCCCGTGGTGGGTGAGTCCTAGAGGGCATAGGTTGAAGGTGAGAGGGGAAAGATATAAAAGGGAGCAAAGGGGCAACTTTTTCACACAGAGTGGTGCGTGTACGGAATGAGCTGCAAGAGGAAGCGGTGGAGGCTAGTACAATTACAACATTTAAAAGGCATCTGGATGGGGTACATGAATAGGAAATGTTTAGAAGGACATGGGCCAAAAGCTGGCAAATGGAACTAAATTTATTTAGGGTATCTGGTCGGAACGGACAAGTTGGACCAAAACTCTATTTCCATGCTGTACATCTCTATGACTATTTGGATTCCTGGGACGCACCTCTTGCCGACTATGCAAACTACTATTCAGTCTAAAGTTTATTTAGGAGAACCAGCTTCAGCAATAAATAATGTGCAGAAGTGACCTCAGCAGGAAAAAAACCATATGACGCTTTCTAAAACATGTAAGAGGAATTTCTGTCCTCACTCCTCCTCTTCCCTCCTACCACAATGATAGGTTCGCCTGGTCTACACTTACCATTCCCCAGCCTCTGCATCCAAAGAATCATTAGCTGCCATTTGCCACTTTCAGCAGGATGCCACCACATGACACATATTCCATTTCCCTCATTTGTCAGCCTTCCGCAGGGGCTGTTTCCTTCTCCACTGCCAACACCTCCCCTCCGCCCCTCGGCACCTTCCCATTCAATTGCAGAAGGTATAATACCTGTCTGTTTACTTCCTCCCTTCTCACCACCCAAAACTCCAGACATATCTTGCAGGTGAAACAGCAATTTAGCGGCACTTCATTTAATCTGATTTACTGTACTTGCTGCTCTCAACGTGGTCGCTCTAAACTTGGGAGACAAAACGCAGACTAGGTGACTTTGCAGAGCACTTACATTCTGTATATAAAAATGATCCTGAGCTTCCACTAATCTGTCACTTCAACACTTCATGGTGTTCCCATAGCAGCATTTCTATCTCAGGCTAGCTGCAGTACTCCAGTGAGCCTCAGCAGCAGCTCAAATAACAGCATCGCCTCTTTCATTCGAAGATCCTGCAGCCTTTAGGACTCAACATCGAGTTCAATAACTTTTAGAGCCGGATTATATCCTTCCAAGTTTCTAGCCCACCCTACACCCTGGCCCTGTCAGTACATGGGCTGCTTTCAGCACACCCCGTCCATTCTCTTTGACTCAGTCTTTATTAAGACCTATTCTGTCTACCCTTAATCCCCTTGTCTGTCTGTCTGTTTCTCTCTCTCTCTCTCTTTCTCTGGACTCCGTCTGCAGCTATCCACTCTACTCTTCCCCCAACCACCTGCATCCCCCCACTAAAACCCCATTCTCACCATAAATACTACCTTTTCCTAGTTGCCAGTAGTTCTGCTGAAGAGTCACCGGACTTGAAACATTGACTATGCTTTCTCCCCACAGATGCTGCCAGACCTGAGTTTCTCCAGCAATCTGTTTTTGTTTCAGATCTCTGGCACCTCCAATTCTTTGTTTTATTATTACAACAGAAGAATTTTGTTCAGTTGAGATGTGTAACAACACATCTGTCACTTATGAAGGTATGTGTGACTTCATTATACATATCAAGGAGAATAACCGTTCTTCCCGACTTTTGATTTCAGTATTTTGACAAATTCAGTTGTATACTTTGGCAAAAAAAGAACCCATCAATGCATGAAGTACGAGCATTTACACATCAACTATTAGCAGGGATGAATTGTTTTCAGAAGTTGCAAACTGAGCTGCATACTTGAAATGGAGATTGCTGTCAAGCTGCATCATTTAAAATCTCACAGCTTTTTAATGATCTTCCTGTTACTAAAAGGAAAAAATTGATTAATTTTCATACTGCCTTTTATGAACTTGGTTGTCTAAAACAAATTAAAGGCAATGCAGCATAATCACTGTTGCAATGCAGAAAATGGAAGAACCATTTTGCAAAAACTTTCGTCCCACAAGTGATTTTGGTTGAGGTATAAATATTAGCCCAGACACGAGAACTTCCTTGCTTTTCTTTAAAATAGGTGAATGCAAGAAATCACTCTGGACTAAATGGACAGATATGGGCCTCAGTTTCACATCCCATAAAAAACAATACAGTATTCCGTCAGCATTGCATTACAGTAGGAACTAACATTTTACACTAAAGTCCTAAGTGAAACCTTTCACAACCTTCTCATTTAGAGGCAAGAGTGCTATCCGCTCAGGAATATATAGGATCACGAGTCATATTAAAAACAAGCAATTTTCACTTTAAAGGAGGCCACAGTTCTAAGATTGTCGAACACAGTCAAAAATTGGAGAAATTACTGGAAAGACTCAATAGTTCTATCAACACTTATCATCTTAGTCTCATTTGAGGGAAGTTATCAAACAAACTTGAATCAATTCTCTTTTCCTTTTAAAATGCTAACATGCCATGTGCTTCCACAGTTTCAGATCTGCAGATTTATTGATTTAAATATAAAAATAATTTTTTAATTACAAAGTACTGGTAAAGGAAAAATAGCAGTGCTTGGAACAGAAAAATATTTTCAATTGAGGCATCATGTATTAAATATGTGCTTAGTACATCTGCAACAAATGCAAAATGAAGCTTTCTTGCACTCCATTCCTGCAAAGTGCTTGAAAACTGATGCAGGACATTTTCTATTAACTAGTGCAAACTTCTAACTATTTTCCATAACAGAAATTAACGCCAGCTGTGCCAAACTATGGCCTGTTTAAACGTGTTTGGTGCAACTACGAGGGCCTTGGTCACCATTGCCCAACTGAGTTTCAGCCAGGACTCTGTCATCCAACAGAGGGAGGACATTCATTTCATACTAGATTAAAGAGGTGGCAACCAGTCGTCTATTAATAAGAGGTTAAGATCGTTGATAACAAAACCAGTTTACCATCGCTATGTATTTATGATAGAAAAGACTAAATAAAAATTATTTGTACTTACATTTTACCTGCTTGAAAATATATTCCTCCAAAAGACTTAGATTAAGCGATGTATAGTTATGCTTTGAGGTCAGGCCACAAAACTGAGAGAGCTCTGAATTGTCAATATCATCTGCCGAGTCCTCATCGCCCTGTTGCTGTTCTTGTTTAGAGAGTTCAGCTACCTCTTTCTCAAAATCTCCTGTTTGAATTCAAAATTACAGTTGTTACATGGTTGGGTGGTGGTTCAATGCAATGTGTCTACCTGTTTGGATTAAGATGGTGGCTGCATGATTTTGAAGCTGAAGCATTCTGTTTAGACTTTAAGCACAATGTTGTACAGTACAAGTTTGAAATGAGAGCCTAACCCTGGTCCTCAGTGATGCTGCATGCTGCTGACAAGGCAACCACAATTTAAATGGGCTTGATATGTATGGTGTGAAAAATCAAGTTTGGTGTTTAAGAGAATTTGAAAATCGCTATGGAGTTGCTTGTGCTACCTGAGGACTTCTGAACATTGTCATGATGAGTTATCCTAGAAATCATTGAATCCCTACAGTGTGGAAATGGGCC